TCCCAACTCTCCGCCAACCTCTCTCCCTCTCTCGTTCGTTCTGTGCCTCTTCTCTCTCCTCCCACACCGGCGGTCTCGTCCTCCTCTCCGTTCCTCCGTTCCTCCGTCCGTGCGCTCATCCTCCCGGTCTCCGCGTTGCCTCTCCATCAGCGGTGGTGGTCCCCGGCGGTTCCTGCTTCTCTCTCAACCCACTTCTACAACGTGACGATGTGTCAAAGTCACAGTGTGTTAATGAGACCTCTCCTGGCCGCTCTATCCCGGTCCTGCGCTCTAATTAATGGACCAAAGACTTTCCATTGTGATCTGAGCAAATGAACAATAAATCACTGACGCGTCGTTGTCAGCCTACCGAACATCTGTTTCACACACACCTTTACAACGCGCCCGACGCCGGGCACCGCCGCGCGCCGAGCCTGCGTGAACCTGACCGGCGGGATGGGTGCGGGGGCCGAACGGGGTGTGTGTGCGTGTGATGTGTGTGTGAGGGCCCCGTAGCGAGGGCACAGTCTGTAGGAGCCTCCAGCGTGAGGCCCTCTTCATTTATTGCTCCAGTGAAGAAGAACAGAGAGCATTCTAATAGGCCAGGAATGTTCATAACAATGAAGAAACCTGCATGAGTCTGATGGGGGGGGTCAGTGCCCCCCTCTCTCTCTCTATCTCTCTCTCTCACAAACTCCTCTCTCTCTCTCTCTCTCTCTCTCTCACACACAAACTCCACTCTCTCTCTCTCTCTCTCTCTCTCTCTCTCTCTCTCACTCTCTCTCACAAACTCCTCTCTCTTTCTCTCTCTCTCTCACAAAAATTCTCTCTCTCTCTCTCTCTCTCTCTCTCTCTCTCTCTCTCTCACAAACTCCACTCTCTCTCTCTCTCTCTCTCTCTCTCTCTCTGCTGTTGGGTACCTATGTCCTTGCTCCATGGTTTGTTAGGCAGGCCTGGTGTAGTGCTGTGTCAGGACTTCTATTGGATGATTAATGTATACGGATAGACTCATCAGCCTAAGAATACCACACCATCTCCATGCAGTTTCGCTGTCACGCTTCAGGCATGTGCACTGGCGCGCACGCACGCACACACGCACGCGTCTCTACACGGGAACGAGGAGCGTTATGTGCACGCGTACGTAAAGGCCCTATGGCACATCTGCGTGCTCGTCGTTCCAGGAGACAGAGGCGGGGATATTCATTGGTCCATTTTGATATTGACGTCTGTCACAGAAGACAAGACAGTCCTTCATTCTAGGTCCTCGGTTGAGGGATTTCTGAAGCATGTGTGGCGTCTAGGATGTTAGCTTCTGTCTCAGTCCCTCCTTCCTCTCTCTCTCTCTCTCCTTCTCTGTCTCCCTCTCCCTCTCTGTCTCCCTCTCTCTGTCTCCCTCTCTGTCTCCCTCTCTCTCTCTCCCTCTCTGTCTCCCTCTCCCTCTCTGTCTCCCTCTCTGTCTCCCTCTCTCTCTCTGTCTCCCCCTCTGTCCCAGAAGGGGGACATTCTCAATTCCCGCAAAAACAGAATCTGTCAGATTATATGGGAAGCACCAGCAAACAGCCATCGTCAGGTCTCCCCCCCACACATGTTGAATGCGCTTCGAGTCCAATTCTATGTTGTTTAAAATCATTCCAAATGGGAGCTTCCCTTTTTTGCAGAGGGAAAAACAGGGACTTGTTAAGTAAAGCAAGTAGAGAGACAGACCGTAACATTATAAGTTGTCTGTGCTACTACAGACATTAGAGAGACAGACCGTAACATTATAAGTTGTCAGTGGTACTACAGACATTAGAGAGAGACAGAGCGTAACGTTATAAGTTGTCAGTGGTACTACAGACATTAGAGAGACAGACCGTAACATTATATGTTGTCACTAGTACTACAGACATTAGATAGACAGACCGTAACATTATAAGTTGTCAGTGGTACTACAGACATTAGAGAGACTGACCGTAACATTATAAGTTGTCAGTGGTACTACAGACATTAGAGAGAGACAGAGCGTAACGTTATAAGTTGTCAGTGGTACTACAGACATTAGAGAGACAGACCGTAACATTATATGTTGTCACTAGTACTACAGACATTAGATAGACAGACCGTAACATTATAAGTTGTCAGTGGTACTACAGACATTAGAGAGACTGACCGTAACATTATACGTTGTCAGTGGTACTACAGACATTAGAGAGACAGACCGTAACATTATAAGTTGTCAGTGGTACTACAGACATTAGAGAGAGACAGAGCGTAACATTATAAGTTGTCAGTGGTACTACAGACATTAGATAGACAGACCGTAACTTTATAAGTTGTCAGTGGTACTACAGACATTAGATAGACAGACCGTAACTTTATAAGTTGTCAGTGGTACTACAGACATTAGATAGACAGACCGTAACATTATAAGTTGTCAGTGGTACTACAGACATTAGATAGACAGACCGTAACATTATACGTTGTCAGTGGTACTAAAGACATTAGAGAGACAGACCGTAACATTATAAGTTGTCAGTGGTACTACAGACATTAGCTTTGCGCAGCTTTCTCCCTGTGTGCTGCTCGCTACTTTAATTAAGAAAACTGGAAAACCATTTACATATGTGTGTGTGTGTGTGTGTGTGTTCGTAAAGAGATGAGAGGAAGTTCTTTTTCCAATCAGTGGTGTGAGTGTGACGTTTCATAAACATGTATTTTCTGGGTGATTCGCTAATTATTATATTATTTTATTATTTTATTGATGTGTTTGAGTGAAGCAATGAGGCTGGCAGGTCAATGGTACTACAGACATTAGAGAGACAGACCGTAACATTATATGTTGTCACTACAGACATTAGATAGACAGACCGTAACATTATACGTTGTCAGTGGTACTACAGACATTAGATAGACAGACCGTAACATTATAAGTTGTCAGTGGTACTACAGACATTAGAGAGACAGACCGTAACATTATAAGTTGTCAGTGGTACTACAGACATTAGAGAGAGACAGAGCGTAACGTTATAAGTTGTCAGTGGTACTACAGACATTAGATAGACAGACCGTAACTTTATAAGTTGTCAGTGGTACTACAGACATTAGATAGACAGACCGTAACATTATAAGTTGTCAGTGGTACTACAGACATTAGAGAGACAGACCGTAACATTATAAGTTGTCAGTGGTACTAAAGACATTAGAGAGACAGACCGTAACATTATAAGTTGTCAGTGGTACTACAGACATTAGCTTTGCGCAGCTTTCTCCCTGTGTGCTGCTCGCTACTTTAATTAAGAAAACTGGAAAACCATTTACATATGTGTGTGTGTGTGTGTGTGTGTTCGTAAAGAGATGAGAGGAAGTTCTTTTTCCAATCAGTGGTGTGAGTGTGACGTTTCATAAACATGTATTTTCTGGGTGATTCGCTAATTATTATATTATTTTATTATTTTATTGATGTGTTTGAGTGAAGCAATGAGGCTGGCAGGTCAATTCCTCTTTTCGGCCGATATGTACAGAAAAGTTGAAGGGGCTAACTTTTCACCATGTGCGTGTGTAGTCTACAGAGAGAGACAAATAGAAAGTGTTCAACCCTCACAATCCAAAGACAAACGGACACACACACACACACACACACACACACACACACTGATATTCCTGGCCAGCCCTGGCCAGCCCTCTGCTCCCCAGTGACTGATGTGTTTTTGGGTCAAGCCCTTTCACCGCTCAAGTACTGCAGAGGACTTTATCTGGAGATTCTCTGAGAGCTGATGGGTTCTACAGCTGGCCAAGTGAAGGTAACGGCCGCACACACACACACACACAGACACACACACACACACACACAGACTCACACACACACACATACAAACACACACCTCGCCCTCCCCTACGGGAAACAGACATTTATCAGCCATCGTAGGGAGCGGCCAGCGGTTCCAGTCTTTGGTTTAATTGTTAATGCTAATTGCTATTTATTGGCTCAGATGCAAATGATGGGCCGGCCAAAGTGAAATTTTATGATGAGTGAACTCCCCCTTTCGCACAAATTGAAAAAGTGAAACAAGAGGAAGATGAAATGAGCCGCGTCGGGCCTTAATGGCGTCTCTTTAATGGGGAAGGCAAAATGAAGACTGATTTACACCGGACCCAATCCTCTGTTTTCCCTCAGAGCCCCATTTGGCGGGGAAAAAAACGGAGCGGTAATTGTTCTGGCTCCTCTCCGACTCCGATCGGGGCCCCCGGACCGTTCTTTATTGACTGAAATGAATGTGTGTTTATCCGTCAGTCGCACGGAACGTGCCTCATCAGCGTTATCAAGTTCAACCGCTCGTCTCCGACGCGTCACACTCACCGGAGAATACTCGGCTGTCAATGGGGCACCGCCTCACCCTCGCTGGACTGCGTTACACAAAGACTCTAATGGCGGCTTACGGCTGCTTAACTTTGAGATGCTTACGGCTCCTATAAGCTATTCACTGGTAACAGAGTTGCCGGGACTTCTGAAAGTTATCAGACCCCTTCACCTGCTCCACGATTCGTAGTGCTACGGAGATAAAACGTTGGTGAAAAAGATGGTGGCCATCGGTCGACACACGGGTATCCCGTAATGACAGAGAGAGAGAGAACACGTTTTCGGAATTCGGTGGCAGTTTGTTGAAAATCAAAAACAGTATCTGTCCGATTCTACGGCGAGCATCGGTGAACAGCCATCGTCAGGTCCCACCACACATGTTTAATGTGGTTTGAGTTCCAGGCTAAAGAATCACCACTTAAGGTCAGTCACAGACATTGCCTAGCCTGTGAGCGCTGGAGTTCTTCCCAGGCTGAGAGATGAACCTTCCTCCGGTCTGAAGTCTATGGATCAGGTCGTCTTAAGGGACCTGTGTATTTTGCTCTACGGATCCATTCCTCAACCCTGACCTGTCTCCCTGTCCCTGCTGCTGAGAAGCATCGATGGTAATAACGATGGTATTGGTTGGGTAATGAAGGCACCTGGTTGTTTCTCGACCTAGCAGAAGCCATCGACAGAAGCATTTGGTAGCTCAGTGGTAGAGCGCATGCTTGGTGTGCACGAGGTCCTGGGTTCGATTCCCAGTTTCTCCTCAGGTCGCTGTTGCAAATGTGAATTTCTTCTGTTGATCGGCCTATCTGGTTAATTAAAGGTCACCAGGCGCTTTACCTGTTGCAAAACGTCCTTCTAGGCATTCAGTAGTTACATACTGAATACGTAAAGTGTTTTCCACTCTGCACTGTCCAGTCACCGCACACACTCTGTCCCAAGACAGTGTCTTGTTTGGCTTTTCTCTTTCCATTCTTTTATTCTCTCCTTTTGATTAAACCTCTGCGTTCTTCCTGGAGAGAGAGAGATAGAGAGAGAGAGAGACAGAGAGAGAGAGAGAGAGACGCGCCAATTAAACACCAATCCAATTGCCTGTCCTGGCCAGGCTTTGAGCTGAGGTCCGTGTGTGTGTGTGAAGCCATATTTGACTGTGTGTGTGTGTGTGTGAGAGCCGGCCGTGTGATCCGAGAGGTTAATGCAGTTAGAGTTATTTCACAGTCCATTAAGGAGCTTATGTTGACCCCGCGACCTCTGAGCCAACAACACTGAATCCATTATCATCACAATGGAAAGTTGGGGCTCCGGCTGACATGACGGCAGAGAAAACCCCCAAGGTAGCACTTAGGGTTGAGCTGGACCCCAGAAAACATGACCGCTCCCTGTTTGTGAAGTGGCATTGGTCAGTTGGGGTGGATTAACGTTCCAGTGTAATTTAAATCATTATCATACAGCCATGGAATGAGAAGACAGGAAGGAAACAGGACAATATGAGAAGACAGGAAGGGAGAAGGACAATATGAGAAGACAGGAAGGAAACAGGACGATATGAGAAGACAGGAAGGGAGAAGGACAATATGAGAAGACAGGAATGAAACAGGATGATATGAGAAGACAGGAAGGAAACAGGACAATATGAGAAGACAGGAAGGAAACAGGACAATATGAGAAGACAGGAAGGAAACAGGACAATATGAGAAGACAGGAAGGGAAAAGGACAATATGAGAAGACAGGAAGGGAGAAGGACAATATGAGAAGACAGGAAGGGAAACAGGATTTGTTTTGGCTCATTCAATTATGTGGAGAGCAAAACCTGGTAGAGTCCGTACGTGACTGATCGTCTGACGACTGGAGACGCGTGGGTGTGATGAGTGGAGATGTGTGTGTGTGTGTGCATGCGTGCGTGCAGATTGGAGATGTGTGTGTGTTTCCGTTCAGCTCTGACAAATAAAGTCATCACTCTTTCGAGTGTGTCAACAGAGAGGTCCCGTTGTAACAATTCTTAACAGATATTTGACATTTTGAAGATAATGTTGGAACGAATTTGGAGTGTGAATACAATGAAATATAAATGATAAATGTGTGTTAGGGAACATGTTTTGATATGTACTTAATATGATCGTATTATGACTGTTTTAATACTAATGATTTTATTCATGTTATTACTAATAAATGCTATATTATATTACATATAAATGTCATATTTAAAAAGGATGTGTTTTATCTATTAATATATTTCAAATTGTTATTCGCATAATAATTACAATATACTTTGTCAATTGCCTTTCGTAGCCAATTTAATAATTATAAAACCATCAAAATATTCTAAATATATAGAATAACTATACGAGTGTGGGTGAGCTTGCACGTGTGTGTGTGTGTGTGTGTGTCTGTGTGTGTGGGACATGCATGTGTGTTCCATGGTCAACTGCATGTCTTAATTACAGTAGTCAGAGTTAATTAAAAGGAAATGAGGTTATGAAAATGACAGACCAAACTCAAGGACTAATTAACCCACAATCACCAGTGTAAAGGAATCTCGAGTCTTTCTTCTCTCCGCTCATCTCCAGTGCTTTGTGAATATGCACTCATTTCAAAAGGTTATCAATTGTTGTTTAATGTTATGCGAAATGTGATATTAGATCCCGCAAACAAGACGTCTTCCATTGCAACATAAATCTAGAAACATTTGCATAAATTAGCATGACTATATGACACCAAAAAAAATTGGTGTTCTGTTGAATTCTAATTTTGAATATCGAGGCGCAAAGGAGATATAAAGTGTCTGTCGCAAATCAAAGTGTTTCCACGTTCCAATTATTTTAGTGAGTTTTAATTCGAGGAATATTAAATGGCAGCATGAGAAGTGAACGTTCATCCTAGAAGAATATAATATATTATAATAATATATCATTTTAAATATATATATATATATAGTCAAGTAAACTTCTATCCGGTAGAACAACTATCGAGAAAGTTATTGACCTATGAATAACAGATAAATCAGCATAATTGCTTTTAATATTTTTTATGATATTCTGTCGTTACTCTGGTTAAAGCTTTGACCAGAATACTGATTACATCATGGAGAAACACTCTCACAAATGCCCAACAACGCGAACAGACGTTTTAATCATTTCAATTGCATTTTTCCTCTACTTACGATATGAATAAAAATACATGATGGTCACAATGCAATGGCAGAATCCAGAAACACATCCAAATATGATTTTAGATTTCCCATCATCAGTGGATATAACCAGCTCAGCATCAGATATCCCGTCTCTCTAGCATTTCACATTTCTCCCTCCCAGTGATTCATTAATTTATTATTTTTCTGTCCGTTTATCTGTTTATTTAGTTAGCAGCCTAGCAGTCACCATGACCCTCACCTTGGCCTGCTGTCCACACTGCTTGTATGGCTATCGATTGGCAGGCCTGATGGTTGTATACATCGCTAACAAGACAACCTGATCTGAACGCAGGGTTATGGGGTATAGGGATGCGGTATGGGGCTGGGGTATGGGGCTGGGGTATAGGGCTGGGGTATGGGGCTGGGGTATAGGGCTGGGGTATAGGGCTGGGGTATGGGGCTGGGGTATAGGGCTGCGGTATAGGGCTGGGGTATGGGGCTGGGGTATAGGGCTGGGGTATAGGGCTGGGGTATGGGGCTGGGTTATGGGGTATAGGGCTGGGGTATGGGGCTGGGGTATAGGGCTGGGGTATAGGGCTGGGGTATGGGGCTGGGTTATGGGGTATAGGGCTGGGGTATGGGGCTGGGGTATAGGGCTGGGGTATGGGGCTCGGGTATGGGGCTGGGGTATAGGGCTGGGGTATAGGGCTGGGGTATGGGGCTGGGGTATAGGGCTAGGGTATGGGGCTGGGGTATAGGGCTGGGGTATGGGGTATAGGGCTGGGGTATGGGGCTGGGGTATGGGGTATAGGGCTGGGGTATGGGGCTGGGGTATGGGGCTGGGTTATGGGGTATAGGGCTGGGGTATAGGGCTGGGGTATGGGGTATAGGGCTGGGGTATGGGGCTGGGGTATGGGGCTGGGGTATGGGGTATAGGGCTGGGGTATGGGGTATAGGGCTGGGGTATGGGGCTGGGGTATGGGGCTGGGGATTAGGGCTGGGGTCCTGGGTCGGCTGTGTGTTTTTCCCCCTCTCATCCCAGCGCTCAGAGGTGTTGAAATATAGCCGTTGTTCTGTCTGTCTGTATGTCTGTCTGCAGGAGTCTCTCTGGGAGAGAGTGACTTAGAGCCAAAATACAGGAAGGGCATTCAGGGAGGAAGAAAACACATTCTCCCTCTCCCTCTGTTGCTCTCGTTCGTTCTTTCCTCTTTTCCATCTTCACAGCCAAGATAAGAGTTTTACTGTGAAAACCGCCAGAGGTGTCTAAAAGGCCAGAGGAGAACAAGAAATAGCATGACTCAAACCCAAACATCAGTACCTCTCTCCCTCCCAGAGAGCCTCTCCATCCTCTCTCCCCTTCACCTCCTTCCCGGAGGTCTGCACCTCTGCAGTGGCGGCCTACAGTGTCTGGGTGAGGGACGGGGGGGGACGGGAGGGGGGAGACACTGGAATTGATATCCCTGGCCGTCCCTGTCCCAGACAATATGTTGCCTTTCTGGGACTTATCACAGTGATTGATGGGAGGGGGTCACACCAGCAGGGACCCGTGCCTTAATCAACCACACACACCCTCAACAAATTGGACAGTGGTGGTCTAACAAGTCTGAGACACACACACACACACACATACACACACACACACAGCCTCGGCTGGCACGCACACACAGACCCGTGAGCCCGGTCACGCACAAACACCCAGTCTAAAAGTTCTCCTCGGGAACACCTCTCAAAGCACCATGTCCGGGGAGAGGGAGTAAGGTACCAAACAAGACAAGAGATGGCAGTACGTGAACGCGGAACGGAGGAGGAGGAGAAGCGGGGGACAGAGAGGAAAAGAGGGCGGGGGGAGGGAGGAGGAGAGGAAGAGGAGAGAAAGAGGGGAGAAGATTGGAAAAGACAACGGAGATACACTTTGGTTTCAATTCAATCAAACCAACGCGGGTACGCAATGCAATTCAGAGTTTAGAAATCTGCATAAAGGGACATTTCCTGTAGTATAATGAAATTATATGGTGTGGAAATAACCTGAACAGGTAAGCGGGTCCACTTGCGTTAATGTTTTGGGGTTAATTGAAAAAAATATAAATAACATTGTGTCATACAAACCGAAGGTCTTAATTGCGTAAAAAAAAAAATTACAATTTGAAAACAATACTATTAGACAATTAATCTAAATCCTTGTAACCTTCGGACAATTTCTGGGATTCTTTAGGTTTACATTGGATTGAGTAAAATTGTAATATTTTATTTCCTCCATTAAAATGCACAGTACAAACATTTCCCCCCCCAACGACTACAATCTCACTATAAATTAATATATTGAATATATGATGAATTTATATGAATGTAAAGCTCAACTTATCTCTATCTATTTATTTAACTTGAGCATTTAGAATGTGCACATACTGTAAATAAAACAGCGACGAACAGTGAGTGATTTCTGTTCTCAACACGACTCTAATGAGTTTTCAGCACTCGGCTATTCGCTCTCTGAAGTGTGCACGAAAGCCCAGTGTCAGTGACATCAGGGAGACGCAGAGACAAAAGCTGTACACTCTGCCTTTCTCCAAACCGTCCTTCACGTGTCTCCACTATCGACTCCACCTCCCTCTCCACCTCCCTCTCTAACACAA